GGTTTTATTCTGTGAATACTGTTAAATATTACGCTTGCGGGCATATAACACTGAAAACTACGGTGATCATCTGGTCACCAAAGTTTATTATGTTTGCTTAGTACTTAAATGCTCACCATCTAAGAATACTTAGGAATATAAGTATCGTAACTTTTTATATGGGCGCGTGGCTGAAAGGTTGCACTGTGGACATTTCGATCATAATATCCGGGTTCAAATCTCATTATGTCCGATTCCTCAAGGAAGTGACTATACCATAATTTAGCCTAAACTTGGGTGTGAAATTGCGTAGATAAAACTGTACAAAGGCATGAAATTACCGTGACTGATATTTTGAGAACACTGGCCTTATTCAACGACGGATTACGCCATATTACAGGTTTCCCTCCCCACAAAATAATAAACGGTTTCAGAAATGATTTTGTGGATGTTGCCGGAACGAACATGTGACTGAACAGTCGCCATCAACAGAGATTAAGCAACTGATCCCGCTAACTGATTACTAAACATGGAAAACAAGCAGCCAGTTATTATTTATGGTGGTATTCTAAGCGTGGTTTAGATGTGGCATAAGGCCGAAAGTATGGGACACCCAAACACGATCCAACTCACTATTCAGATGTAATCTAACACACTTGCTAACGAATAAACCATGTCCAAGTGCCCCAAATTGTTTTCTAAACGTTGCTTGGGGGTGTCACATGGTCAAATGTAGGGCCAGCGAGTGAGGGCTCAAACTCACTATTCAGTTGTAATTGATCTAGCGAGACAAGCTTGCTAACGCTTAGATCCAGTCAAGGTACCCCAAAATAATTTTCTAAGCCTAGCTTAGATATTGCACAAGGCCGAAAGTGTGGATATTCCATTCAGGATCGAACTCGTTACTCTGACGTGATTGATCTGGCGAGCCAAGCTTGTTAAATATTAAACCGTAGCGAAGTGCTCCAAAATGATTCTCCAATCATAGCTTAAACGTGGCACAATGCCGAAACTGCGGAGCATCCAGTAGAGATTGAACCCACTACTCAGTCGGAATTGATCTGATGAGTAAAGGTTTAAGCATTACACGATGTCGAAGTTCTCCAAATTGTTTTTCTATGCGAAGCTTAGAAGGCCGAAAATTTGAAGCATCCAATGAGGATCTGATGTAATGAATATGCATAAACCTGAGTTCCCCCTCACAGTAATATGATTGGCTGGTGTCAGCCATAAATACAGACTGATATGGAGATACATGGTCTACGCCTACTGGCTACGCCTATAGTCTTCGCCTATTGACTACCACTACGACGAGGACCAGTCCATTACGGTTACCTTCTAGATCGTTCTACTCGGTTACAGTAGTTCACAACCATTTTGCTACTTCAAACAAATATACCCCTTTCCGGGACATATCAGGATCTGACTAAACTACTCTGTCGTAAGCTTATTAATCTTTACACCAAATCGAAATGCTAATTCAGTCATTATTTATGGATAGTGTCTTTTACCATAAATTGGATTAATATAATTGCTTTCTTTCTACATTTCTTCTTTCTTTTTTATTTACTTCATTTCCGCTCACACTTTTTTCGTCTATCAGTTTCGCTCTTTCATATTTTACTTTTTTTTCCCTTTCTAACCATTCCACGGCTGCGTCGAGATTGGCTAAAATTTTACTTAAATTTAGAAATTAATATTTTTCTTTAATATTCAAAATGGTGTCTTTCTTTCTTTGATCTGAACAGTGGAATTTTTACAAAATCCTATGCCAAATTATTTGGAACAGTTAAAACGTGCGGCCTGCCAGAATTATTTACAAATGCAAATATTCAAAATTTATTTCGAATGGAGAAAACGTTTATAAGAAAGACCAAAAAACAAGACGCTTATTTAAATTTTGGTTACAAACAAATCAGACAAAAAAAATTAACAGACAGCATTATTCCGACTTAAAGCAATTAATTTCAATTTTATATTGTGTGATCGTTTTCAATTCGCTATTAGTAATACTGGTTTCGACCTTCACCAATTCCAGTCGAAAGATTTAATTGGTATTTTAGATGTTCTGATTATCTATTCCGTGCAGTCTATTATTCCAAACATATTTTCGAATTTCTCTGTCCGCAGTAAACATTGTTTAATAGCAGAAACAAAGAAAAGGATCCAAACTCATTGGTTTTATGATGCCAATAGAAGATGCCAAGGAGTTTTTCAATGCATTTGTTTACAAAAACTTGGATCCTTCTGTCTGCTTCTGTCGATAATAAATTAATAGATTAAGTAATTAATGACAGAAAAAGAGAAGGGTCCAAGCGACTGAAAAGGAATGCACGAGAAAACTCCTTGGCATCTTCTATTGGGAACATAAAACCAATAAGTTTTTTTGCGGAAAAGGGTTGAATGTTTGTGGGCCACCAAGTAACTCTTCTTGCCACTGTCAAATGACTTGGTTTAGATGCGTAACAAAGCACGGCAGCCTGTGAAAGACCATCATACAAGGCACCATTGAAGGTGGACGTAGCAGGGGATAGCAACGCAAAAAAATGGTTGGACAAGGTCAACAAAGGACAGGTATGACTATACCAGAATTGCTAATGGCTGCCGTTGATAGACCGTCGTGGAGGAGATTCAATAAGGCTTCTGCATTCGGATCCCCACCGACGATTACAAAAGTCAAGGAGATGATGATGATGATGATTCTATTGATTTACGTTACGCTATTTATAAGAAATTCTGGGCCATATTTAATCTTGAGGATGGTCAAAGGTCTAGTTCATCCCTACGGAATATAATTCTCTATTTTAGATGGCTGACACGAGCTCGTACTGTTTGGAAAAGACGCTGCTTGCAGGTGGAGGGATGATACAAGAATAACCATCAGTTGAAGAACACCGTTCAGAGAGCCTTTGCAGCCATCAACAAAACAGAGTTTCATAAAATACCAGACAGAATATGAGGCTGCAACATTTTGTTCCAAGAAAATGATGGTGTTCATATAGACCTTTTCGTTTTATGACAGCGTCAATGAAAGGGAATAGACAATAAAGTATATGTGTTTTGTATTATCGTATTAATTGTTCTTCTATTGTTTTCATTACTTTTTGGTAGGGAGTGACAGGACTTACGGACCACTGAATATATTTGAACCTAACACACACACACAAATATATATATATATATTGAACAATAAAAAATATTAAAATATTAAAAGCTTCAAACATACTGGGTTGTATATTAATATTCATTCGTTTTTATTATTATTTCATTTAGATTCCTCGACTAGTTTCGGTCAACATGGTCATCATCAGGAGAAAAATAATTTTCTGCTTGCTGGTAGCAGTAACTACAGAAATGAATGTCTTGATGGAGAAAATGAACTTTTGTCTGTAGTTTTCATTTTTTTTTATCTTTTTTAACGCGAATTTTGGTTAGACTTTGTGTTGGTCAAACAGTCTCTTTTAAGAGACTGTTTGATCAAACAATAATATATATATATATATATATATATATATATATATATATATATATATATATATATATATATATATATATACATATGTATGTATATACATATATATATATATATATACATATATTACACACACATATATATATATATGCATATATATATATATATATATATATATATATATATATATATATATATATATATATACAATCTAAGTATATATAAAACTTTAATCAAACAAAACAATAATTTCATGCATCTATATATATCACTGTTAAAAATTGTTGAAACAAATCAATATATTAAAGTTAGTTTTATCAGTGAAATCTCAGTTTTCTGAAAAAATAGACACACACGGACATCAAATTCAAATTCCCACGTTAGCCTTTATTAACCAATCAGCGATGTTGCCTCAAATGCAATTCAAGCTTTGAAAAAGCAGGCAAGCATTTCTGTATTGTTTGATAAATAAAATTAAGGCTCACATCCATAAAATGAGTTTAAGGTGGCTTCATCCATTTTTCATCACTTTTGATCATTATTTCCTGTTCGAGTGTGAAGTACCAATATACCATAGCGATAAACGTATCCAACGGTTTTGAAAGACCTTATGACACTCTATCTTGATTATATGTGCGATATTCCGCCTCTGACATTAATTATTTTAATCATAGTTTCGATTTTGCCATGATCAGCGCTTACATCTCATTCGCAACATTCTCATTTTTTGAGTTCGAAATTTCCACAACTGACTCAGCCGGAACATTCTCGTTTTTTTGAGTTCGAAATTTCCACATCTGATCGTAATGAACCGCTTATGACCAGTATTCTCAGCTACGACACATTCCCATAAACAGCGCCTAGTGTTTGCTGTTTGTTTTTTAAATGAAAGAACGCAAAATGAAGAAAATGCTTTTCATTTTCTCCCATTTTCACTTGAAACTTAAAAACAGAATTCACAATCTACATCGGATAGAAAAAACGCGTTGAAATCTCACCTTCCAGTATAAGTTGGTTAATTTTTTTTGTGTTTTTGTTTCTTTGGCGGTATATCAACCTCTATGGGTTATTGTCGAAATCTAAATATTATGTACGTAATTCTTTGTTTTTTAGAGATGATATGTCCCGGAAAGGGATATATTTGTTCCAAGTAGCAAAGTGGTTTTCAACTACTGTAACCGGGTAGGACAATCTCGCAGGTAACCGTAATGGACTGGTCCTCATCGTAGTGGTAGGCAATAGGGGTAGGCAATAGGCGAAGACAATAGGCGTCCTCTTGTACCTCCACATCAGTCTGTATTTATGGCTGACACCAGCCAATCATATTACTGCGAGGAGAAACCCAAATGTATGCATATTCAATACATCCAGATAATACTAGTTTTAGTAAAACAAGATTTACAGATTAACCCGTAGCTGGAGGAGATGTGGATTCCCAAGAGTATCTGCGCGTAAGTAAATATAATATTCTCAACTGGAATTGAAACACGGAACTCAGATTAAAATTCCTAACCGTTATCCATTACACAACCCGCGCATCTAAGTTTACAGTATTCCCAAACCGTTACCCATCCAGGTACTGACCAGGCTCGACGTTGCTTAACTTCGGTGAGCGTACAGGAAACAGTGTTTCAACG